GAGGTGGGGGGCAAAGCAGCTGCTGCAGCTTAAATTCTTCTCATCTGTTCCCGAGGCTGCCAGGTTCACTCAGATGGAGCAATTTGGCAGAATTGAGTGGGATCCGACCACTTGGGGCAGGGGATGAGGAGGTAGTGGTGGGGGAGGTTGGGGCACATGGTCTAGCGCTATGAGAGTCCACCCCCAGCCTCCGCCACCTCTCCAGTCTATTCAAGAGGCGCTGGTCCTTTGGGAGCGCAGCGTCAAGGGGAAAGGATTTGGAAAGGCCAGGGAAGGGAAGTTGGCTGGAGCCCAAGAGCTCCCCTCGCGGGTACCAGGGCCAAGGATGGAGGTGGTTGCCGTGGTGATGGGGAGGCAGTCAGGGTGGGATGCTAGCCATCCTCCATGCTCCTGTTACCTGACAGGTCCCCATCTAGTGATTGGGGGGGGGGGCACCTCTAGGGCTATCCACCCCAGGTCTCTAGGTCTGAGAACCCCTTTGCTTCCCTCCCTGGGCGGGTCTGGAATGTTCTGCCTGAGCTAAGCCTCTGGGGGAGCTGGACAGGTGGGCAGACAGGTTGGGGAATGGGTGGGAAGCCCTCGTTTCTTCTTGGCCGGAAAGTGGAGGGGCAAGAGGACGTGAGCTCCTGCAAGGAAAAGGGCAGAATGAAGGGTAGGAAGTAGGTGATGGGGGAAGCAGGAGGGGAGAGGAGAGGGGAGAAAGAGAAGTAGGGAGCCTGCCACCTCTAGGATCAGTCAGAGAGGGCGGGTCTGAGATATCAGGCAGGTCAAGGCCAGGCTGGGAGGACAGTGGTGGGGGAAGGTGAGCGGAAGGACACGCGGGCTGGCTCTTCCCCCCTGCCTGCTTTCACCCCCCCCTCCTCCTCCCCACTGATTTCATTTACTTCACTTAATTAGCCCCCCTCCAGAGTTAAAAAGATAATATGATAATGACGATGTGAACAGCCACAATACTGCAAAAGCCACTTCATCTACTGCCTCCCCAGCCTCCTGACCCCTGGGCTCCCAGCATTGATGACCGGGCTTCCCCAGGGCCAGGGCACTAAGTTGCCCCACTCCCTGCCCAGTTACCCCTCCCCAAGAAAAATGAAACAAAACAGGCCCTTAACGAATTTCAATTACGAGCTTTGTAAAATCAATACAAATGGCATTTTCCCTTTGTACATGTAGACACGGACAATGGTGACTTCCTGCTTCTGCCCTCAATGTAATGGGCCACTTTCCCGTTACCATGCACTTCATAAAAAACTCATCTGTGGGAGACCCTCCCTGCGCTTCCACAGGTACTTTAAGTCACCCCCACATTTTCCTTCTCACCAGCCAGTGATTTGGGGGTACAGACAGAAAAATAAGACACCTCTCTAAAATAAAAAAAAGCAATTTTCTTCTCCCACCCCTCAACCCAAGTGGGAGAATGGGCAAGTCAGAACTTGCAGAGGGCAACGAAGAACTCACCCAGCCTGGGCCCTCCTCTGACAAGTGGGGAACAGAGAGGGTGAGTAACTCGTCGCAGGTCACACAGCAAGTCCAGGGAGTCAGAGCGCAGTTTCTGTCCCCAAAGACCGGACAGCCTCAGACAGAACACTGCGTGCAGGGGCAGAGTCCCTACAGCCACACACGGTATCTGGGTAACGTGGACACGGGGCTCCTGGGGCGGGGGGGGGCGGGAAGGACAGACTACTGCTGTCAGGGCTTTGACTTCTATGGTGCGTATGTGCTCCCTGGACCCCCCATCCTAGGGAAAAGGTAGGTGTGGCACCTGCCGTGATACATTCCATTCCTGTAACAGTCTATTTCACAGATGGGGGACGTCGAGGCTCAGGGAGGCTCATTGGTTTTCTCATGGTGACACAGCCCAGATTGGGACTCAGTCTGATGCCCAAGCCTTAACCCACTCCACCAGCTCCTCAGCGCCACCCTTCCCCCACAGGTCTCGGGGGCCTCTAGCCTGTCAAACACCTCCCTGCCCCGCGACTGCTAGGCCTGCTCAGGCACCTCCTATGCTTCCACCCCCCCATCCCACTAGATCTCACATCCCCTCTTAGGGTCTCCTTCTATGGTCACTCTGCTCCGGCCCGTTCAGTTTGTGAATCCACCCTGGACCAGCCCTTTCCCTTCCAGCAAGGGAAACCAGAGGACGAGGCCCACGTGAGCCAGGCTGGCCTATCAGCAGTGGCGGCCTGCCACGCTAGAGACCACATTGACACTCCACAGGAGAGCGCGTGCCACAAACGATTCCTGGGCAGGGGAGGGGCAGGCTATCACCGGTGTCCAGAGGGCACAGCTGCCTTTGCCCTTTCCTGGCATCCTCCCACTGCTTATTGGCTCTCTCCTTTGGGGCCCCAACCCCCTTGCTGTCCAGTCTATACCAACAGAAGTCAGGAGAACTTCCCCACGGGGTTTCCCAGGCAGCCCTCTTTATGAGAACAGACATCCACGTCCTTCCCGAGCACGTCCACCAGGTGCCATGAGGACCCCTGTCCACTGCACATGTGTGTGAGCCTCAGTCTGGAGCCCATGCTCTTTGGCGCCTGCTCCACGCCTCTCTGAGGGTCAGTCCTAGCCCTGCCATGGCCGTGCCTGTGACCCTGACTGGGGGCCCTGGTACCCTCACCTGGGGCCCTGACCCCTTCAGGAGCCTTGCTTCCCTCATCTGTAGAATGAGGGTGCTGGTTTCCTGGGTCCCCAAGGTCCTTCCCAGCACGGATGTGAAGGCCTTACATTGTGCCGCTCCCAAGGGCAGGTTTAGACAAAGGACCCTTAATCAGATGTTAATACTGCACACAGGAGACAAAGGTAGGCAAGGATAAAAGGCAGCAGCTAATTAGTAATATTGTTCATGACAAGGCCTTCCCCAGAGAGTTTCAATTAGTGTGGAGGGTAAAAGCCCCCCCCCCCCCCCACTCCCCAGGCCACAACAGCCACAGCCCTTCCTGCCAGATTCCCCCCCCCAGACAGGTCAGCACTTGGTGAGCCAACTCCCATGTCCACGCCCCCGCCCCCAGGGTACATAGGAAAACTGAGGCCCAGAGTGATGTTGCCCCCGAAATACTACCTGCCCTTTGGAAGCAGCTGAAATTGGGGCTTGTTAGCTCCTTAGGATTCTAGCATCTTCATGAAAGCACCCGAGGGCAAAAGGCCAGCCCCCCACCCGCCTTGGCCCACTCTTATCTGGTTGTGCTACCATTTAAATGGACCCCTTGCAAAGCAACGTGAACACTGGCCTTTCACAGGGTCCACCCCTTCCCCCCACACCCAACTCTAAGGATCTAAAAAGCTCAGGGGTCAAATTCAGGGGTGCTAAACCCTGCCTCTCCCACCTCACACTCCTCAAAACCCCCAAATTCACAAAGACACCGACTTGCTGTATCACAAACTGTCAGAGCTGTGGTGACGGCTGGCCCTCTCGTTGTAGGGAGGGTCTCTGAGGGCTCAGGCCCTGCGGAGATGGACAAGGGCATTGGGGGGCTCTGGTCACTAGGAGCAGATGAAGGCTGCTGCACGGGGACAGTCGCTTCCTTCTCTCTTCCAGACTCAGACACAGGTAGACACAGGGCTGGGCAACCTAGGGCCAGTGCACGCTGTGGGGGAGACCTGGGCAGAGTCTGGAGCTGGCCCACAGCGCCTACCACTGGCAGGACTCTGACCTTGCCCGGCGGGTCTCCTCAATGCAGCCTAATGACCACGAAATCAGCCCGGCACGGTCCGCCTACAAACCTTGCCGGCCCGCCTGGGACACAAGAGAGCCTGACCTCTAGGCCTGGCCTGTTGCTTCCCCTCTCCTCACAGTCTCTTGGGGATGCCAGCGCCTCCTCCCAACAACGTCTGGGCCCAGCCCCTTGGGAAGTCCCTGGCCAAGGGCTTCTCATGCTCACTCTGCAGGAAGGGAGCTGAAGACTGGTGGGTCGCCTGTGCCTTACTGACCGGGGCAGGGGCCCTGGGCAGCTCTGAAAGTTGGTGCCCTGGCTCCCCCACCAGGGCAGGTGAGCTGACTCACCTCGAGACTTCATCCCAATGAAGCGGTTCTCCACGATGTCGATGCGACCCACACCATGCTTGCCCCTGTGCGAGAGAATGCTATTTGGACCAGGTGCTGCTGCAGGCTCGGACTGGATGCCCACCCTGGCTGCAGCGCCACCAGGGAGCCTGGCAGTGTCCCCAGAGCCACCCCAGAGCACCTAGAACCACATCACTGGTGCAGCCAACCGCCATGGCTCATGTCTGGGTGGCCCAGTGGGCATAATCTTCTCCTTCCAGGCCCTTTGCCTGCTAAGGATGCCGCTCTGCCATGTCTGCCGGGTGTCAGCCCGGACCTCTGCGCATCTCTGCTTCTGCTGGGGGTTGGCAGATCTGGCTGTAGGCATGGAGGACGCAGCCTGACCATCCCTGGAAGGCAGTTAGACTTCTGGGGCAGATGCCTTCTGAGACTAAGGATTTAAACAAGGGTTCCCCAGGACTTCCCTGTCTAACCAGTCCCCTTGGTCTGGGAGCCCCTACAGGGCCAATGGCCAAGGCCACCTTGAGGACACAGGAGAGGGGACCTGAAACCTCAGGTGGTAACCATCGCCGGGGTTCCCCAGGTGGCTGGGTAGGACTGATACTCACGCGACGTCATTCAGGTACATGAAGAGCTCCAAGGATGTGCGGTGGGTGGTGCCATCCTTGACATTGGTCACCTGCACGGGGACCCCTGGGGCAGGGGGAGAGGGCAGTGGGCCTCTGGGCCGAAGCTTGGCGGAGGAGCCCAGCACCCGCCGCCCCGCCCTCTCCCCTCTGCCCGCAACGCCTTAAATGGATGTGACAGATATGGACTCCAAATGACTCCCCGAAAAGCCTTGTGCAGGGTGAGGCCTGCTGGGGGGGGAGGGAAGGGGCGAGAGAGCCCCCCAGAATGAAAGGGAAAAGGCAATAAAAACGCTCTCCCCACCCTTCCCATTCTCTTTGCCCCCTTTGCATTTAGGGGCTGTGTAATTGGAACCAGGCCCCGAACTAATTGAATTTCACGCTCCACCATTGTCTTACCCCCAGCACCTTCTGTCCCACCAGCTCCGGGAGCCGCCTGGCCGAGGTGCGGCTGGGCATGCACACACACTCACACACACATACACACACACACACAGCCCTCTACCACGTCTGTCAGGCAGACCCCGGTGCCCCAAGGCCTGCACCCCAGACCTGTACCCCAGCATCTGATTGATGGGGTGAAATGGTGCCCGCCCCAGCCGGGGTAAGGGGTGGGGGGTGGGCGTCCCTGAATCCTGAGTTGTGGGGTCTGGGGTGGCAGCCGCTGCTGGTCGGGAAGGGAGGGGCCGTGTCAAGTGAGATGGGGGGTGGGGGCGATGGGTGGGTTGGGGTTGACTTTGAATAGCAAGGGGCACTTTCTCTAGCGGTGTGAAATGAGCAATAAATGTATTAGGGGACTAACAAGAGAGCTGTAACAGTGACAAAGGAAAGCTGTTCAAAGTTGGCGGCTAATCCCCCACCCATCTGCCCGGCTCATTACCATGTAGCCAGCGATCAGGTGCCAATCACGGCTCAATAGCGCCTTTTCCAGTCTTTATTAGCCTGGCGCCGCCTGGAGGGGCTTCCCTCAAGGCGCTGACAGCCTCTCCATTCTTAACCCCCATTTCCAGGGGTTTTATAACTTGGTTGTAAATTGCTATTAAATGTAAGTCTGCCCAATAATGAACCTTAAGCCCCTCTCTGCCACCCCTCTGCCACCCCTCGCCTTTCTCCCCTCCCTCTCGGTTCCCATTATGGGCCTGGGAGTGGGCCCCACCCGGGAGGGGCGGGGCATTGTTGGTGCTGCTGCGGAGAAAGCCTCTTAGCCTTTAAAATAGTTAATAATTAGATTAAAACTTCAAATAAATTAACTAGCGGATGAATGGGGAGTCGTCAGGGGAGGCTTCTTGTGTCCGTTTCCCCTCCCAGACGGTCCGTAAATCATTCAAATGGATCACGTTGCTGGTCTGGCTCAGCGGAGGGCTGCCTCTGACACCCTCCTGACTGGGGCCCATCCCCGCCGCTCTCAGGGGGCCTGGGGCACCTGCTGGGAGAGGCGAGTGCCACCCAGTCCTGCCCCCTCCGTTTTCTCAGAGACATGTCCAAGCGTGTCTGCGCCCACCAACAGGCATCAGGCGGACACAGAACTGCAGCTGCCTTCAGGCCCTCGGACCAGGGTCCCTTTGGCCCCTGAGTGGTGAGAAACTCCAGGGACCAAGCAGATGGAGGGGAGCCATGAAGAGGAGCCCCTCACCCTTTGCCCCAGCTCTAGCCTGAGAGCTGATTTTTGGGGGGACAGGCCAATCTCTTGGCCTGGCCTTGGGGATGCCCTTTGTCTCCTCTACGCTCCTCCCCAACCTGAGGCTGAGATGTAGCACCACCTCCTCAAGGAAGCCGCCCTGATTTCTCTCTCTCTCTCGGCAGCCTCCTTGGAAAATTCTGTCCTCGAACCCCGAGTCCCCCCTCTGAGCCCGGGCCAGCTCCTCTTGTTACCAGACAAGCCTCCCTTCCCTGCACTTCCAGCCTCCAAGGCCACGTTTCTGTCTCAGGCTCTCTCTGGTGCCTGGCTTGGGGCTGGCACCCAGGCCAGCATGGCTTTCCTAGGGATGGCCGTGAAAGGGGGGCCAAGATTGGGATGGCCACCCCTGGCAGGGGGAGCAGGCATGTGGGGGAAGCTGTGACCGGGGTTGCAAGGTGGGGTGAGGCAGCAAGCCTTGGGTCTCGCTAGGGCTCGAGGTGCGGGGTCAGAGGGACCACTGGGGCTGGCTCTTTAACCTTGACACTCACTGAGCCCCTCGTCAGTGTCAGGGCCTGGGCTGCTGCTCACACAGGCCACATTCTCCAGCTAGGACCACTACAGGCAGCAGGTGCTCTTTTATCCCCAGTTTACAGATGAGAGCACTGAGGCCCAGGGAGGTTGAGTGACTTTTCTAACGTCCCTCAGTGGGCAAGTAGCTGGATGGGGACTAGAACACACACACACACACACACACACACACACACACACACACACACACACACACACACACCCTGGTGTTCACGAACCAGAATGGTGGGCTGTTGATGTTTCCTCTGGATTCCCCATGGGTCACCCAGTCCAGGGCAGGGGAGGCGGGGACCCTTGGGCACACTGCTTGAACTCTGGTTTTCAGGAACTTGGGAGGGGGGCACAGGGCTGGGTTGGGAAAGGAGCTAAGGGCGGAGACTTACCTTTCTTGAACTGAATCTCAAGGATGTCGGGGGTGTTGGGAGCCTTGGCTGGGTCCTGGGTCTTTGTGTAGAGACCAGGAGGTGCTTGGCTCTGGCAGAGGGCAGAAAGAGGTTGGAGATGGAGTGGCCAGTCCATTGTCCCCATTCTAGAACCAGGGGGCTGCTGGCATGTCCCTGCGGGCTGGCAGGGCCGGCAGTGCCCTCCGCCTGCCCCCCACCCCAGCCCCCAGCCAGCCCTGCTTGCCGGGGGCCAGGGAAACAAAGGGCTCAAGAAATCAGACAATTTTTCCCCTCAACTTGATCTCATCTTTCTCTCCGACGCCCCCACAGTTGGAGGTAGACCAGCAGGAGAGGAACAAGTCAGGCAGGAAAAAGTGTGACTTCGGAGGGATGAGGTGGCGTTCCGGGGGCTTCCTGGGAGCCGGCCCGCACGTCCTCGCTGGCGCGGGAATTGGGGCTTATTCTGCACTGACCGCAAAGCTAATGACTAAGCGTGACCCCAGCAGGTGCTCTGGCGAGCAGAGCCGTCCTCGGGGTCCTGAGGTTAATACTCACAGGGAGAAAAGAGAAGAGCCAAGCAGAAGCCCATTTGAAAACACATCAACCTTTATGTATATTTTTGCTTGGGCGTGTTGGGAAATGGGCCTCTTCTCCCGGCACAAGAGGAAGTACATCTGCTGCCTCAGACTCTCCAAATCCATCCCACCCCCCGCAGGAGGCTCCCCCAGCACTGTGGCTTGGACACTTGCCACTGTGGGGACCAGGGCCAGAGACTGGACAGCCCAAGTCCCTCCTGTGAGCACCGACAGCCCAGCTGCCCGAGTCCACCGCTCACAGCCTGGGCACGGCAGTCCCCTACGCCTTCACTTTAAACCTCTACAGACACCCACCCACCCAATCTTTTCTAGATGTGGCAGCTACAGCTGCGGGGCTCGGATTCTATCACTATTAACCCACCTGCCCGCCCAAAGCAGTAGGGTCGTTTTCCCGCTGTAAGCAACCCCATCGACAGACGGAGAGACTGAGGCCAAGGGGCAGTACCTGTAGCCGTAACTGTGAGCTCTAAAGGTGAGCTCAAGTGAGCACAAACAGCACACACTTGGTCCCACCCAGTCCCTGTCTCCTCATCACAGGGGTCCCACAAGGGCCCCGGCAGACACAGGCTGGGTTTCAGAATGGTGGGAAATAGCATGCAGGCTGGGAGTCGAGACCCCAGGCTGAGGGGCAGGCAAGTTCCTTCTGCCCTGGGGAAAGCAACAATTGTCCTCTGCTATCTTACACTCGCCGGAACACATGCAGGAAGGAGGAAGGCTCACGGGACAGACTGGGGTCGCTGGAGCTGCCAGCTTGATGCTAGGGTGACCAGCCCTCCCAGACTGCCCAGAAAGGGTCTGAGAAGCCCCCAGTGCTGGGCTGACCAGCAGTATCCAGTCCTTTGGCTCCGCCTAGGCCCTGGGCTCCAAGGGGGCCTGTGACGGAGCCCCCAGTGCTATGTGAGACTCGGGCCGGATCCCCCAGTGCTGTGTGAGACTCGGGCTGGAGCCCCCAGTGCTGTGTGAGACTCGGGCCGGCATCCCCTTGGCCTGTTTCCATTTGAGCGGTGGGAACAAGATCCCTGAGCCAAGCTCAACGGCAGAGCTCTGGGAGATAGGGGGTTCCTTAAGGGCCCCTGGCCCTATGCCGCCGCTGAACTGACAGACAAGCCAATTCTGAGCAGCAGCTGGTCCAATCACACTGCACATCAGCCTCAACGTGATGGCCAGCCTCGGGTCTTTGGACTGCCCACCTGGTGGTGGTCTTTCCAGCGTTCTCGAGTTCTGCCCTAGCAGCTATGAGTCACTGGCGCTGGGAGGCTGTCAGGGTACAGCCGGAGAGCCGGTACTGTTAGCCATGAGTGGGGCATCAGGCTCCCCAGCCCCCTCTGGGCTCTGCCAGGCACCAGGGCCCACAAGAGCAAAGCTTGAGGCCACTCCCTCTCCTGTGGGTGGCAGACAGACAAACCTCTACCGCTCCCGTCTCTGGCTGCCCGAGATCCCCGCTGATCCCCAGCCTAGGCTTAACTCAAACAAGGGTCTCCAGTGGGCCTCTCCTGGATGTTCCGAGGACCCCCAGCCCTCCCACCTCCACCTGCTCCGTGCCTGCCGGTCTGTATTCAGTTTTGTGCGGGTCGCTCCCTCCTGCCAGACTTTTAATCACTCTCGTTTTCATTTTGTGGTTGCAAAACGCGTGCCCGCCCAGTAGGGGCTGCACAGGGGTCAGCAAGGCTGACTACATCCTCTGAGGTGTGCAGCCAGCCTCCCCCCATGTCCTCCGAGTTCCCTTTGCCTCCCCCGGACACCCTCACGGCCCCCCAAGTTCCAATCCCATCTAGACAGCTTGTGAAGGAGCCCGCCGGAGAAAGAGGAGGCTGTCAGCCCTGGGAAAGAGTTACAGACTTGGGGACCCTCTGCCGGCTTGCTTTGAGTGGGAACCAGCGCAGCAGCAATGGGTTTGGTTTTGCCTTTCATTTACCAAAAAAACAACGCAATACAGCTCAAGGTAGACTTACAACAAAACCAACAAAAATTCGTGAAGCTTAATTATTATTGGTCAGTTTTAAGATGACTTAACCGAGCCGGCCCCAGAAGGAAAGTTGGAGGGTGAGAAGGTTTGCGTCCGGAAGGAGGTGGGAGACTCTGGAAAATTCGAGTCCCCAGACTCCATCCACAGTGCAGGCGGAAGCTGCTGCGGCCAGGGGCGGTAAGGGGAGGGGGGTTCCCAACACCCCGGCAGGCACCTGACAGCACCGATTAAATAAAATAACTAACTAGAAATAAAACGACTTTTTGCTTTGCATTCCGAGGTGGCGCGGGCCGCTTGCCTTCTTTTTACTCTCCCTCCGAAAAAGCCCAGTTCAAATGACAAATAGTTCGTTGCTGAGTATCAATGCCATCTATTTATCCGTCCCAGCAGGAGGGCTCACTTCCAATGTCATCTTTGGTTGAAGGAGGATGGGGGGGGGGGAAGAGAGGGAAGAAAAAGAGAGAGAGAGAGTTGGGGGTGAGGGGAGAGGGCGAAAGAAAGCATGAAGCAGGGCCCGAGAAGAAGAAATTGGAAGCAAATGGCCCGTGAACTAAACCATGATGTAGAGGCATGATCGATGTTGCAAATGGTTTATTCATCCATCAGATATGGAGGGCCGGCGACTGAATGAACTCTTTCACTGTGGGCCGTATGAAGTTAAAGCAAGTAAATTTCTATCTTTCTTCGCATTAGCTGCCTCATTGCCCTTCAATCAGCCCTCACGGAGGCAGAAAATGGCCCCGCCATCTGCCTTCAAACCCTCCCTTCCGCAGGTCTCAGGGCCTTTTTTTTTTGGAGCCGGGGAGGGGGCCCTGCTTCCCTTATGATGGTCTCCCTGAGCCCCTCCCCAGGGGTCCGGGGCTGTTCAGGCGGGTGGAGCGAGAGGTGCTTTGGGTGGTGGTGGCGGGGGGCTGGACACGCAAGCCGGCTGTCAAAGATCTCGGGCTCCCGGGGGGACAAGCGTGGGCCTGGGTATTCTGTGGGTATTCCCGGAGCTTCAGGGGACCCTCCCCACCATGGCTAGACCAGCAGGAAGCTGGCACAGACCCCCTACCTTGCAGACTGGACTCAGGGTGCTTCTCAGCAGGGAAGAGTTTTCCCTGCCCACACCCAGCATTGCCACACCCCATGGTCCAGGCCGGGCTTGCTCCGGGCCAGGGATCAGTGGCGTGTTCTCCATCTCATCCTCAACTACCCAGGCCGGCAAGGCGGCGGCTCTGGTTTTTGTGAATGGGGCAGCGGACGGGCAGGTTGAGTGGCTTGCCCGAAGTAGCACAGCAGTAAGCAACAGAGCAGCGACCCAGGTCCCGGCTGCCTGTCTCTGGGGCTTGAGTATCAACCACTAGCCCTCCTGCCTTTCAGCCTCGTGTCCGGTGTGGGTGGCAGGGTGTGTGCTCATAAAGACAAGCTCCCACACGTGATTATCCTTCGGAGGCCAGGAGGCGTAGGACCTCGTCAGGAAGGTCTCTCGAAGCCACAGCCCCCAGTACTGCCTGGGGGGTGATGTCAGGCCTGGCCTCAGCTTTTCCCCCAGTCCTGAGGTGGTCTATTCTCGGGGTTAGGATGGGGGCTGCAGCTGTTGGGAGTGGGGTCGCATATGCAGCTTCTCAGAAGGTTCAGGGGCCAGGAGGATGCCCTGCCCTGCTGTGCCAATCCAGCCCCCGGCCCCCTGGGTGCTGACTGACTGGATAATTAGGGGTGGCTGGCCTGAGTGTCGTGGGGTCAGCAGAGCATGAACTGGAAAAATATGTGGCCAGCAGGCAGCAGCCGTGTGGGGCCCATCAGCCCCCAGGGGACCAGGGTGCAGGGCTCTCCTGAGTGACACATTTGGGCAGAGCCAGTGAGCGGACAGCGGGGAAGGGGCCAGGCGGCTTCTGGGGCTGTGGACAGCTAGGGAACCACAAGAGGAGGGCGTGCACTCCTGTGACAGGGTGCCCCAGGCACCACCCCACTTCCTCACTGAGCAGCTGGCCCACTGGGCCATGGCTCCCTGGTCCCTGTGCACCACCCCTAAACGAGGATGCTCACACAGCCAGAGAAGGGCTCTCCCTGCCCTCCCTCCCCAAACCACCAGCCGGCCCAGCTGCCAACCCCTTTCCCCAGCACACTGCTGCCCTAACCTCAGCCAAGTAGCCAGGCCCCTTAGCCCCCCATCCATGCTGTGGGGCTGCGCCAGGGCACATTCCCACAGGAACAAAGAGATCTCTCTCTTCCCATGATAGATTTCACCCTGCCTCCTCCACCTCATCTCCCACGTTGGACAGGGGGCGATATAATGAGAAGCACCCCCACTGCCCCGGGAGAGAAACCCTAAACTTGTAGCAGGCCCTGGCTGGGCCAGCAAGAGATGCTACGGACCAGCCAAGGCTCAGGGCTGGCTGCCTGGGGCACAGGGCCGAGGCCCAGACAAATGGGTCCTGAGACGCTAATCAGTGCCACCCCCACCCCCAGCCCATGATAATCAAGGCAGCAGCCGAGCGCTGGTGGGCACAGGCTGGGCGCCTCCCACAAGTGTCTCATCTGCCTAATTGCTTCTTTATCGTCTCACAGTGACTCTCTCTCCCTCCATGCTGCCCTGAACTATTCCCTCCCCTATTCATCCGACAACGGACGGACGGCAATTAGACAGGGAACACGAAGGGGTGGAGGGGGGCTGTGGGGAGGGCAGGTGGAGGGGGGGCCGGGTGGGGAGGGGTGGGGAACACAGGCCCGGGTCCTACACCCGGCCCCCGTGAAATTTCAAATTAGGCTACTCATGCCTCAGAGGCTCCCAGTGAAGCTGCTGAGGAGGAGGGCGGGGCTTACCTTGGGGTTCTCCAGGATCCCAGCTTCATAGCTGTGAGGGCAGAGCGGGAGACCAACAGGGCATCAGTAGGGAGGGACATCCAATGCTCCCCTGTGCCCCCCAGTTGTGCTGCCCTTTTCTCTCTGCTAGCCGGGGTGCTGGAGCCCTGCAGGGGTAGTGGGGCCCCCCTGGTTGGCTGTGGGAGCGCAGGGTGGCTGGCACCCAGTGCAAGGGCTCTGCCCCTAGGGGCGCTCTATTTCAGGCACCGGTGAGGATGCCAAGGGGCTGCCAGGGGCAAGCTCTGCAGTAAGAAGCCGGGACTCTACTCCCACAAGCAGCTGCGGCCTCGGGACCCCCACGGTGTGGGCAGCGCCAACCTGTTCTAGAGGGGCGGGGCGCTAGGAGTCAGCAGGGGCTCGAGGGCAGGGAGTGAGTGGGGACTGCGAGGCTCTTCCCGGGAGCCCCTGTGCACCCTCGAGGCGATCATTCCAACGTCACTTCCTCACGGAAGCCCTCTGGGATGTCGCCGACAGGGCCAGCTCCCCACTACCGTCCTCCTGGCACGCAGGACGCTGCAGTCACAGCCCTGGCTGTGGGGAGGGGGGCGGTGTGGCGGGCCCCTGTCTGCCTGCCCTGAGGTTCCTGGAGGGCCCCTTGGAGCCAGCTCAGCGATCAGGCGGGCGTGCGCCAGACCAAGCAGACAGAGGATGGACAGAAAAGTGGACACGTGGGTAGAACCCCTTACCTGATGTGCATGAGGTTCTCATCCATGCTCCATGGGCTCTTGGGGGTGACCGGGATGGGGATTCCGTGTTGCTGCAGGTAAGAATTAACACAGGGCAGGCCTGAGACCGCTTGGAGGGGACTTGAGGGTGGAAAGCAGTCCCAAACTCTGGTCCCCCTCGGGTGTCCCTGAGCCCCCTCCTGCATTCCCCAGGGCTGCCTGTGGAGGGAGGGAGGGCCTCCTTGCTGGATGGATGGCTGTGGGGTGGATGGCTGGTCTCAAAGGTTCCTTCCAGAAGATTCTATGAGTCTGTCCTTCTCAGCTCAGCTGGCTGGCCCTCACCACGACCCTGTGACCCTGTGGGGCTGGGATGGACCACACACCAGTGTAGCCAGCATGGGATGCAAGGCACCCGGCCCGGGACACACGGACACCCCAGGGCAAGGACGAGGGCCAGGAGTGCTTCTAGCTTGTGCTCGTCTGGGCCACTCTTCAAGGTCCTACAAAGAAGACAGCCTCCTGGAGGAGCACACAGGCACAGGCACACACACACGTGCATGCCCACACACCTTCCTCACACATGGCTCTGATTCTGTTTTGCCTCCCTGGGCCCTAAAGCACTTTGAAGACCCACCTCTCTTAGCCTTTTTGCAAGGAAAGATGAGGCCGGTTGCCTTAGAGACCAGGCCCAGCCTCACAAACACCTGATGGAAATCAAGCATGACAGTTTCCTTCAGGACCAGGTCCCTGACAGAACTCACTGGGCGAGGCTCTCCTCTCTTGCAGGTGTGAAAACCAGTTGCTGATTGAGGCAGCTCTGACTCAGAAGGCCCCGTTTGTGCAGAGCTGCACTCCGTAAGGTTTTCATGGCGGTGATATTTCAGAAACTGACCACCAGGCTTTTCTTCTGAGGCACCTCTGGGTGGATTCGAACTGAGAACCATTGGGCTGATAGGGGTGCTTGGCCATTTGCACCACCCAGGGACTCCTCAATGAGCCAACAAGTAGTTAGCTGGTCCAGACGGGGACCTGTGAGCCAAGTCCCTTTCAGCCCCAGGACCAGGAGCTCAGCCTGCCCGCTGCCAAGACCAAGACCTGCTGCCTCAGCCTGGCCGCCGTGCTCCTCCACACCCCCAAGCTCCTCCAGAAGTTGCCAATCTCTTTCACATTTCAAAACAAGTTAGACTAACCCCCCTCTGCCTCTCCACCCCTTCTTAAGCTTTAGCAGCAGATTCACCGCAAACAGAACACACAATCCCCCTGATTGTGTTTGTGCTTTTCCTCCAAATGACACAGGTAGATGAGAAGGCTGCACTCCAGAGGCTGCTCCAGGCTGAAGCCTCTTGTGGGGACAAGAGGTGGCCCCGGGTCAGCCCCACGCCCTCGCCCTGCTCTCTGCAGGCACAGTTTGCCAGGTGTGCAGGCACAGGCGCTGTGCAAGGCGGGGTCAATGTCACCCACACGTCCTCACTGCTGGGGGGAGTGCTAATCCAGCATCATCTGAGTTCCCTGAGGCTCTGGGTTGTGTGTGTGTGTGTGTGTGTGTGTGAACACCCTTTCTCTGTCTCCTTTCCAAAGGAAAAAGACAAGCAGGAGCAAGACAAGCAGACAGGGCAGAAGGACAAACAGAGGTCATGGACAGCACAGGAAGTCCTTTCCCATCAGGGCCAACCACAGTGATGTCCTAGAACCCAAGAGGGTTTGGTCTCCCAGCCCCTCGGCTCTCCCTGCAAACCCTCCTTGTGAGGAGACAGAAAAGACCATCTCCAGGGTGACCCTAGCCTGCCTGTCAGCTCCTGCTGGGCCCTGTAGCTTTGTTTGTGGTTGTGCATTGTTTTTAAAGTAACGTGACCCTGGTAAAGACGGCTGTGTGTGGGTGTCTGTCCGTCCTGTGGCGGGTGGATCTGTGGGGGGACAGAAAGTCCAGCCCACCGATGCTTTTCATGAATTCCACCAAGGAACCTTGGCGGTGCAGTGGTTATGAGTTGGGCTGCGATCCACGAGATCAGCAGTTCGAACCCACCAGTGTGGCTCTCAGGAGAAAGACGGGGCTTCTGGCTTCCACACAGTTAGTCTCAGAAACTCGAAGTGTCGAAGGGATCA